TCCTCTCAATATCTCTTTCACACTTCCCATCCCTCGTAAACAAAGAACCTAAATATAGAAACTCACTCACTTGCTCCACTTTTTCATCTCCTATCATAATCTGGCATGCCGTTAAACTTTCATTCCTCTCAAAAACCATTACCTTCGTCTTCTTCGCATTTATTTTCATACCTTTTCTTGCATACGCTTCATTCATTATAGTCACCATTTGTTGTAATTCATACTCCGACGATGCAAAAAGTACTTGGTCGTCGGCGTATAAAAGAGTCTTAAACAGAGACTCATTCATCCTGAATCCACAATTAGATCCTTTCAAATCGGTCAAGCAACTGTCCATAAATAGGTTGAACAGCCAAGGAGACGCTACACAGCCCTGTCTAACACCGCGTTCAATGCCAAACCAGTCTGTATAGACTCCATTTATTCTGACACAGGCATTTGAATCCTTATATAAAGATTTGAATGCCCGTATCAAATGGCTGCTCACCCCATACATTGTCAGTGTTGACCACAGTTCATTCCTCTCCACTCTATCATAAGCCTTTTCAAGGTCAATGAAGGCGCAGAAAACCTTCTGATGTTGAGCTAAGGTTTTCTCTGTTATGCACCTTAAGGAAAAGACTTGATCCGTACATCCCATACCCTTTCGAAATATATAGTTTCTTTGTATTATATAAATGGAATGTACTATATTCTTAGGAGTGTCTCCATCAAAAGGCTTCTCCAAAACCATCCCAACATTTAACCATAATATATAGTTATTACTCAGTACGTGAAATAAATTAATTTTAATAGTTGATAATGGAATATTAACCCCGCCCGCGCTATCGGTATACGCTGGCTGGGTACCGGTGAGGGGATGATAGGTGACGATAAAAGCAAGTCAGTTAGCCCATCTTGACGAATTTCACTAGAATTAACCACGATGATTTCCATTTCAACCGCGTAGAAATCAACCTTAGAGCTTACATAAATTAAATATCGGGATATTCGTTTGAAAGTGGTTTAGTACTCCGAGTCACAAATTGGCATTCTCTCCCGACAGTATCTATTGGCGTATTTTAGGAGCAAGTCAGTGCCCAACCAGAATTGTCTGGTTGGGCACCTAGGATGCGAGCAAAACTTTACAAAGACATGTCTTATAAGAGACGGGAATTGACGCAATCATTTGGGTAAACTAAAATATGAAATAAATAAATAATTTTCCTAAATTATCTCGACGCGTCGACCAAATTTTACCGGCCATTACGAGTAGGCTGATGTAGTGCTATCATATCCCATTTCCGAGGCGAAAGATTTTTTTTATACCTACTCATTGTCCCAGATCGCATTAATTATATCCCTGTACTAGGGATTTCTACACACAACACTAGCATGTCTTTACTCGATGCATTTCGTCTCTTATGAAACATAAAACGTGCAGCGCGAAGGTCCTAAAGTAAATATGTCTGAGAATACATATACCTCTTTTATACGAGGCCAGGAAAATAATCTCAAAAATACCAACAGTTGTATCAGTTTCCATTGTAAAACAGTACCACGCTTTATATGCACATTCGTGACCACTATACCTAAAGTAAATTTAACACATATGGTACTATTTGGTACTATGATGTTAAATATTTAAAACTCAACTACGATCTAGCGGTTTTGGAAACTCATATTTCCATACAAACTTATCGGTGTAAACTTGAACACGGTAGTAACGTAAATCGCCGTTCAACTCACACTAGGGACTTGTGGCAACGTCGAAATATCAGCTTACAAAAATATAATCATAATAAATTCATTCGTAAAATATATAAAGTTACAATTTATATTTTCATTTTACAAACTAATCAAGATTTAGTAACTATTCTCAAATTTACCATTACTATAACTAAGGGGAAATTTGAAACACTAAATTTATTATTACCTATTTATTTAGATTCGTATTATCATTAAAGAAAGTAACTTTATCTGTTTGTTTTGTATGCGTGAATTTACAGGGTACAGAGGAATAACACCTGAGTCCTCAGGAATGGCAACGCATGGGAGGTATCATGGGTGAAACAGTATACTCTGTTATGTCCATGGTACTGCTCATGTCTATAGGCGACGGTTACCACTTTCCATCAGGTGAGACGTCAGCTTGATTGCCATTCTAAGTTGTATAAAAAAAAATATTACCTCTTAACATATAATTGTTAAGTAGCAATTATGATACGGGCTACAATTGACTGCGTTTCAACAACCCCAAGTTCTAAATCGCTACCTAATAATTTTCTAAAATAATTCAAATTCCTATTTGAATGATTTAAAATAATTATAGTTTCTTTATTTGTACTTTAAAAGGCACAAAACGCTATCGTCCGGCAAACCACGTTAGAGGCCTTCGTGTTCATTGATAAGACAGTGTAAAAATCTTTCATACTAGAGGACGCCATCCTCACACGAGTTCAATAGTGAGAACTAAATATAATGTACATTGTTTTACCCTATCCATCTTTCATCCATTCTATGATCCGAACAATATGGAATGCAAATAGTTAGGCTAGCTAAGTTAGCATCGCTCTTGGCGTCTTACAAATTAAATTTGCTACACACGACAGTTTACTTTCAAGTAACGAGCTGTTTATTGAATAAATCAGAATTTACTTGAAGTTAAAAACATAAATTTTATTAATAGATGAAAATCATGATTTTAAAAAAATATAAAGTATCAACGTGTATGGCTATTAGGATAGAGAAACACCTAAAACGACATGGATAGATTGTGTGAAAGATGATATGGCCAAAAAGGAAGTGAATGCGGAAATAACCCCAAATAGTGGTAAATGGAAGAGAAAAACATATTACGTGAATCTTAAATGGTTGGGAAAATCACATAAAGATGATGATGATACGACGATGAGACAATTATCATTAATTAGCTAGTTATTTTTTTTATTATTTTTTTTTATACAACTTATAATGATAAACAAGCTGACGGTCCACCCAATGGAAAGTGGTAACCGTCGCCTATAGACATGAGCCGTACCATGGACATAACAGAGTAAACTGTTTCGTCCATGATACCCCCCATGCGTTGCCATTCCTGAGGACTCAGATGTTATTCCTCTGTACCCTCTAAATTCACGCCACATCCCACCTTTCAAACCAAAACACAGCCATGCAAACACAACTTTTTCACGTTAGAAACAAGAATGGGTCAGAGGTACCCAAGCAATCGACTTTTGTACAAAGTCTCCCTCTGGTAATACTTAATACAATAACTACTAATTAATACATTAGTAATAATTACTATAATAACTACTAATTACTACATTAGTTACGAAAAGACTGTGCTTTGATTGCTTGTATCATACATAAAGTATTCTGTGTTAAGTTATAATATAGCTTACTCCACTATGTATTCCACATTTAATTGCCATTGCCACAAAGATGGTAAACAAGTATACAACCCGTCTGTTGGTAAACGATCACTGTAGCCTATAGACGCCTGCAATACCAAGGGTGTCACGTGCGCATTGCCGACCCTGAGGAAAACTTAATATACCCTTTTTGAAGAACCCCATACTTTTTAAACATTTTCTTTTCATAGAAAACCTTGTCCTAACAATTGTCATAACAATTGTCATAACAAACATAACATAAAAATAATTTGCAAATTATGTACAGCGACACTGAATTGATGCATTTATATACATTCAGCAATTGATTTTTATTTATATAGATTCTATATTAAAGACCCTTGTTTTATGTAATCTCCAAATTATATTTGTATGATATTTTTTATGCAACTTAGAATGGCAAACAAGCCGACGGCCTACCTGATGGAAAGTGCTAACCGTCATCTATAGAAATGAACAGTATCATGAATATAACAAAGTATACTGTATTACACTTATAAAATATAATGTTATTTCAATTTACTAGTGAATTCTAAACAGCATTTGTTACCTATCTGCCAACATTGTGCACATATCACACTAACGAACCATAGACACTGTTAATTTATTCATAAATTCTATCCAGAACCTAATCAGACACTATTTTAGTGTCACATCTATCCAATTAATTAACTCTATTTCAGTAAGCTCTTTCTTAGTAATATTTATACTATATTAATATATAATTCATATCAACTGTCTACTGTCCACTGCCGGGTATAGACCTCCCCAAAAAGGCGAGTTTTTTCAATAATTGCATACTTGGCAGGTAGACTGGCAACAGCAGGTAGGCTTTGGTTATATTCTAAGAGAAACGCTGCTACCCATCCCTCGACAATAAGTCCCTTAGTCGCCTCTTACGACCACACGGCAAATTAATATATATATAATTTAATATTTTTATTAATATAAAATTGTATAACAATAATATTTTAAGATAAGTAGAAATATTGTTAAAGCATTTCATCATCATCATGATTTTATCCATTATCCGTCCACTGCTGGACATAAGCCTCCCCCATAGACTGCCATAAAGAACGGTGCTGAGCCACCTGCATCCACTGACTTCATACAATGCATTTCAAGTCGTCCATACAGGGTCGCCACTCAAAAGCATTTATTAATTATTTATTTTTTATAAATTTTATCACACACAATACAACTTGTTTACAGGGCGGACTTAATGCTTGTTAACATGCCTCTGCCAGTCAAATGCATTTTTATTTGTTAAATCAAACAATAAATATAATTAAATATTATATTTTTACAATTGCAAATAATAACAACGCATGAAGGGTATCATAAACGTTGCAATATATTCTGTGATATGCATGGCTGTTCATATTTATACATACACTGATACCTGCTACTTTCCATCAGGTATTACTTACGATACCAAAAGAACGGTAAAATAGCCCTTCTTTTTAACTTTTCTACAAAAGTAAATACTCATTTTATACAATAATTCTATTATATCTTAAGAAATTTTACCACTTTAATATTTTTTCTTAAAAAGGTTTTACCGAAAACTGAATCGAATATGACAAATCGTGTCTGTCAATCCTAAAATTTCACACTCAAGCCGTTCACCAATTAATCAGTTGTAAATATTTATGGAGAAAAGATCGCTCAAAATTATAAAATGTGGTGAGTCTCAATGATTGATAAAATTCTTCAATCGACGGCCGGTAAACCGTGTTCTTGTCCAAAAGGAAAAATATGTTCAGCATGCAAGAAAAAGAAAGTTATAAAGTAATTTCCTTTATTACTTACCTACCTTTGAATAAAGGCGTCAGATTCAGACGTTCAAATGTATTTTTACGTTGTGGCAAAATATAAAAGGTAAAATAATTATTATGGAATCTAATACATATTTCATGAATTCATGTCAAGAATTAAATTATTGCTGGATGTTAGAAATGTTTTGTTGTGTTCATAATGAAGTATTTATAATAAATAAACGAAGAAACTAAATGTATTAATTAACATAGAAACTTGACGATGTGATTAATGCCAATCCTGACAATTTTCAAGTATTATCACTCTACACCAAATTTAATATCTATTCTGTTACAAAAAAGAACCGGCGAAAAACTTTCCTTTTTCAGTCTGCTTACGAAGATTGGTCTTTAGTAGTGAGGTATCGAATCAAGCTGGCTCGAGTGCTGACTCGAATAACCACCGAGTACTTAGATATTCGAGTACATAATATTACAGAAATAGGGTACCCGATATTCAAATACAGATTTCGTGCTCGAATACTACTTTTCCGAGTTTTCAGAATCGAATCAGGTTTCGATTCATTTAACGAGTAACTACCAAAACACGCAAATACTAAAATAGGCTAACTCGGCGCTTCAGTAATCTGTATAGCTACTTAATTTAAATCGATACTAAATATTATATATGGCACTCTAAAAGAGACCGCACCCGCGACTTCATTAATGAGATTGGATCTAAAAATAAGTATTCAATTTTCCTAAATTAAAATGTACCCGAAATGTTACCTGACTCAGTCCGAAAGCAAGCCTTTGTCAAGTTAACTTTCATTAAAACTCATTAAAAAGTGTCTGCTCTCTTTATATAAATAAAAGCTGAGTATAGTATAGAATAAACATTTCATGCGCAATTATTTTAAATTGTTAAGTACATTTATAAATACGTGCGAAAGTTCATAATTTACTATGTACCTATTTAACACTTACTTTTTCTTTCATTAAACTAGTGTTTAATAAAAGAAAAAGTAACTAAAAAAGTATTTAGTTCGCCTGTACTGATTATTTTGGATAATCAATATATAGGTATGGATTATTCAAGAAAGCCTTGTCTCGTTATTTATCCCAAATTTTAAGATGAACAAAATAGGTAACGATTATTATTCTTAGGTTTCTGTTTTTTTTTTTTTTCTAGACCACGTATACACGTTGAACAGCCAAAGCGTCTCCCTGTTCCAATAGCAATCAATCATTATAAAGAGAGAAAACCTACCCTAATAAAAATATCCGAGAGTGTTAAATCATTGCGTAATCGAAATTATACCAAACACGAATTTACTTTTTGCAATTGGTATAAACGTCGTAAGGCTCTAAGAGATTTGAAGAAAGAAGAAAAGAGAAAAAGAGAAGTGTATTTACAAATAGCTAGAAGAGAAATAGAGAAGGAAGTCTTAGAGCAGTTAATACAGCAACAGAGATTAATAGAAAAATATGTACCACCGCCGAAACCAATTCCAATTGTGAAGACGAAAACCGAAAAAGTGCGTTCGAAAGGAAAGTCAATTATTGCAAAGCCAAAAGTGAATTCCCGCTATGTGACAGTTAAACGATAGTAAGTGAAATATAAGCCTTAATTCTTCTGTAAAAATATGAGCCTTAATTTTTAATAGGTGTAAATGAAATGCCCTAAATGAAATGCCCTAATAACCCAATAACTCCATCTGGGGGAAAGGGATTGTTAGTAATGTGGACTCTCAGTCCCATTGCAAGCAATATACTCCATCAGGTCATCTTCCACGTGATCCCCCTGAAAACTATTGTGCTAAATTCCAGGTGTATTCATTATGATGGGCTAACTGACCTGTCTTTTCATGTTCATCTATCATTTATCACTGGTGCCCCGCCAGTGCCTACCGTTAGCGTAGGCGAGGTTTCCATTCCGCTATCATCCAATAAAAAAAAAACATCTGCGTGATCGATTAATAAATCTGGCGAGGTACCAGTGAGTAATGATAATTACAATGAAGGCAGGCAATTGGTCCATTGTGACGAATTTACCAAAAATTAATCACGTTGGTTTCCAAAAAGAACCGCGTGAAGGTCGACCTGATATATTAGTGATATATTGCTAATATTGAGACGTCCCACTATTGAGCACAGATTTCTTGTAAAAAAAAGTATATCAACTATATTTAGCAAATACGGTAACTAGACGATTTAGTGTAAGGTTTCTTCAATATGGGTGAGATGCAAGTAATGGCTTTACAATAGCTTATAGCTGCAACTGCCTAGTGAGATCCATGTTGAAAAAAATATTTTGTCCACCGATATTTTGAAAATGTATCTCCTGTTCGTCATGAATCACTTTTTTTTAATGATTGATAATGGAATGGCAACCCCACCTGCGCTATCGATATACGCTGGCGGGGCACCAGTGAGAGATGGATAAGAATAAGAATGAAAAGGCAAGTCAGTTAGCCCATCGATTCAGCACGATGGTTTCCAGGGAGGACCAGGTGGAGGTCGACCTGACAGGATATATTGCTAGCAATGGGACTGGTAGTCCGCATTACTAACAGTCCCTCCCCCCTCATGAACCACTTAGATTTCTTAACTATAAGTCTGTTTCGGTGACCCAAGATCCATTCCGCATTTCATCTCCCAGGTACAATAATTTTTAAGGATAAGCAAGCTGAAGCGGCCATGGGCTGGTCATATAGCTAGAAGAACCGACAACCGATAGGAAAGAAAAGTTCTTGTATGGTGACTTCATACGGGCAAACAGTGCAAGATGACCATGACTAGGTGGAGTGACGACCTCAAATGCAGGATATCAGTGGATGCATGTAGCTCAGGACCGTTCCTTATGGCAGTCTATGGGGGAGGCCTATGTTCAGCAGTGGACAGATAATGGCTGAGATGATGATGATAATGTAAAATAATATACACAGAATTCAACCGTGAAGCAGTTGTGTTTGCATGGCTGTGTTTCGGTATGAAGGGTGGGATATGGCGTGAATTTACTGGGTACAGAGGAATAACAACTGAGTCCTCAGGAATGGCAACGCATGGTGGGTATCATGAGTGAAACAGTATACTCTGTTGTGTCCATGTTAGTGCTCATGTCTATAGGCGACGGTTACCACTTTACATCAGGTGGGCCGTCAGCTTGTTTGCGATTCTAAGTTGTATAAAAAAAACACTATTTCTTTGTACACCACATTTACGCCACACTACACACACAAATAACACACACTTTTACACTAACTATTGCTGAACTTCCAGTGATGCGACGTTCGAAATAAGTATTGCCGTAGAATTTTTTTTTTTCTATTTAATTTAACCTACCCTCCAAAAAATAATCATAATATTGTCTGGTATGCAAATTGGAAATCTGTAATTGGCTAATGTATGGTGTAGATATAATAATTTTAATTATTCTAAATATAAGCTGTTGATTCTAGATGTAATATAAAAATAAAAAATAAAATACCTTTTAATGTAAACACGACGGAGGTCGCCACTTGTACGCTTTTTTTCTATTTTCTCAAACATCTTTTATTTCTTCTAGCAAAACCACCTAGACACTAAGTACAAGGTGCATGAATTGTTGTTATCGAATCTGCTGTCAATTCTACTGCTGTCTGTCCTGTCTCCTTATTATTACATTCGCATTAATAATGCTTATATAAACTTGTACTTAATAAAAAATAGTAAATGTATGAATTCATGTAGAGATTAAACTACTGTATCAGATGTCCTAAGATAATTTTTTTATTCTGTAGTGTAATAACTTATTATTATCTAATTTTAGTTATTTTTAAATACCTAATAAATCGATACTAATGATAAGTGAAATACCTACTGTAATTAACATAATGTTAAATGTTTGTTTTAATATTTAACCCCTAAGTGAGCATGATTTGCGAAACCTAATAATATGTATGAAAAAAAGTGATCTCGGGCACAAAGACAAAAAATCTAAATATTGCTTGATAATATTATATTTATAAACATAGTGATAATTTATTTAAATATTTCTCTTTAGATAGATATGTATTTGATAGGTAGGTAATAGGTTTCTACTGTATCTTAATTAGTGGAAGTTACTTATTAGAAACTTATATCTTTTTACGAGAAAAATAAGACCGTTATTAGGCTGTAAGAATCCCTAAAAAAACATCGCTGAACGAATAACATTATAATTATATTTCGTGTAAATTAAATTTTGTGATGTATCTCACATCACACACTGAATATGTCTAAAATTATGTCCAGCACTGTAAAAGCCCGAATTACGGTAAATCTATTTTTTATATACTTACATCAGAAACGTGACAAATAAAAAAAGTGTCATTAAATTAAAATGTGCAAATACATATGTTACTGTACAGAAAGACAGGTTAAGTTTGGTTTAGTGAAAGATACAAAAATGATCTTGGTTTTTATAAAATCCTCACATTTACCAACTCACGTTGGTAAGTACTAAGAATTACTGGTGAATCTTAAGATTTACCAAAGTGCGGGCTTTTATATTAACATATACGTATACTCATAAATGATGGTAGAGCACAAGCTTAACACCATCAGATTAATGAATGAATAGTTTGTTAAATCTCTGAAGGCTTTCTTTAATTGATATACGATATATTGCTAGCAATAGAGATAGTAGTAGAAAATTTGTCGGAGATTTTATTTATTTTATACAACTTAGAATGGCAAACAAGCTGACAGTCCACCTGATGGGAAGTGGTAACCGTCACCTACAAACATGAGCAGTATCATGGACATAACAGAGTATATTGTTTCGCCCATGATACCCCCCATGCGTTACCATTCCTGAGGACTCAGGTGTTATTCATCTGTACCCTCTAAATTCACGCCACATCCCACCTTTTAAACCGAAACACAGCCAAACAAACACAACTACTTCACGGTAGAAACACGAATGTGACAGAGGGACCCAAGCAATCGACTTTTGTACAAAGTCTCCCTCTGGTAATAAGGATATAAGAGATACTTTGGAACCTATTTGCTAGATTCGAACTCATGATCCATGGAGGATTATAAGTCATGACAGTACCTATTCGTACATATACCACTGAGGTTATCCATTCTCAATTTTAAATAAAATAAAATTGAAATATCTCAAAACAAAAGCACTTAATTAAATGTACATATAAAATTAGATACTAATTATTATTTAATAAGGTATCACTATTTATTACATTATGAGAACTTGCAAACAAATTAGAAAATCAATATAACAAACATTCTAATCTCTTTTTAATAGTTCTTTTATATAAACAGTACTTCTACTAACTAAAATCGCCGTGTGGTCCCAGCATAGACAGGGTCCCCTTTTCTATTCCCGTGGGTGTCGTTAGAGGAGACTAAGAGAACTTAATAGTCGAGGGATAAGCAGTAGCGTCCGTTTTAAAACGTCACCAAAACCTAACCGCGGTTGCTAATCCGCCTGCCAAGCATGGCAACTACTGGCAAAACTCCCCAACAGGGGAGGTCTATATTCAGCAGTGGACAGTTAACGACTGATAAGATACGATTACTAATAAAAACCAAAACATGTTGTGTATCAAGTCGTGCGTTTTTCAAGGCACTTTCTTCCCACGCACAACCACTCTTTGGAATCAACTTCCAGCAGCAATATTTCCGAACCGATACGACAACATAACCTTCAAGAAAAGAGCATATTCCTTTTTAAAAGGCCGGCAGCACGCCTGCAATGCCGTAGGTATTGTGAGTGACCATGGGCGGCGGTAGTCACTTACCATCAGGTGAGCCGCATGCTCGTTTGCCCCGTGTTGTAAAAAAAAATCAAGTACGTACTACATAGTTAGTTATCCCAAAAAGGATTACTTGTTATCAACAATAAATTTATCCTAACATAATCCAGCACCCTGAACAGCACGAGATACTTTCAAGCACTTTCCATACAAGTTTGATTATGTAGATACTCCCGAAACTCTTGTCGGTGGCAATTTGTATGACTTTCGATCTTGTGTAGAACATGAAATCCACTGCATGCTTCGGAAAGCACGTTCAGCTATTGATCCCAATAGTTTATGTTCAATCACTACATAATCTTACTAGAGAGTATGCCGTAACTACGTCTTTGGTATATCGTTTACATACGTACATACGTTCACTATGGTTACCTTTTCGTAACTTTTATTTTTGACTAGCTATAATCGCAAATTTGTTCGAGTGTACTATCTGTATGGTTGATGCGTTAATATTGCACATTTTTTTTATTTTTTACGCCATCTATTGTCTATTAGAGTCATCACTCTATTTAACAATAGTGTAGGCCGATGTTTCCCAACGTGGGGCCCACGCCCCACAGAGGGGCAATTTGATAGTTAAGAGGCGGTGGAGAGCAATTAAAAAATGGACTCGTAGCGATTTTAACCTTCTTGCTCCGGGTCATTTAAATGCAATGCTATGAGTAGATATCAGTGCCCAATTTAACAAAAAAGTAAAAAAAAATACTGTAAATATTTATTAGGTATAATTTTGTTTGACACTACCAAAATTTCAACTGGGCGATTAGAGTCCTCAAGTAACCTTTATCGGGAAAAATTTATTTTCTTTAATTATGGCGGCATAAAATTTTAGAAATGTTCAAGTGGGGCATGGCACAAAAAAGGTTGGGATACATTGGCGTAGGCGAAAAGACTGTAAGCTGGTATAGAAACACGGCGTCTTTATGAAGGTAATATAATTATAAAAATGTATATACAAAGCAGAAAAGAGAAAAAGAAAATCAGTAAACAAACAAAATATGATAATTACTATGTCACAAAAAATACTTTTTACCATACTCTTGGCCACAGCAGAATATCAGTGTTTTGCTCTTTTAAAGGCAAAGCAATAAACTGAGCTGTGACCATTTTGTGTTACTATGGCACACGCATGAAGGAATGTTAACAAAGGAGATTGTTAGATTATGTATTTTGTTTTTGTATTTTTTTTTATTTGTGCTTTTTTTATTTTTATTCTTTTGTCTCTTTTGCTGTGTATTACGTGTATGATTTTTTTTTATTGTAATTTGTGTGCTGTAAGTAATGTAAATAAATTATCTATCTATCTATCTATCTATCTATCTTTTTAATATAATTAAAAAGTATAATTATAAAGTTTTTATAAATATAGATTGTTTTGGAGAAGGGGGTTATTTTTCAATACTTTTCATACCTTATAATATACTATGAAAATTTAACTAAAATAATTTCAACCGTTTTTACTTTTACTACATGTAAAGATAAGAATAACTCACTTCCAAAATAACCAAATTAAAATATTAAGGATTAAAATATGTAAAAAAGATTCCCGAACTAATTATTAACACAGATAAGCAAAGTTATTAAGTATCTAATCTGTGCCCAAACTTTAGTATTTAGGTCAAATTTTATGACAAAAGCCGAACAATAAACTTCGGTCAGAGAATTATCTTTGGTCGGACATTATCTGCCCTAAATGGACCCATGAACCATTTACAAAGACACGCAATTCTTAAAAAATAACTCAATCAAGTCAAATAATATATTTATTCATGTAGGTTTTTTTTTTATTTTTATTGAAATAGGAGCGTCTTATTTTCGAAACTTATTATGTGGAAAAATGTTTGATATTAAATTAATTAAACCATTTAGGTATATTGAGGGCTTCAAAACCTATGAGCGTGCAGGTGAAGATTATTTTCGACATATATACACAATTGTATGACATATAACAACAAATGGGACAGAGTGGGTCAGGATAGACGAGAGTGGAAAGGGTTGGAAGTCTTTGCCAAATGGCAAACAGATCTTCAAAAAATAAGGAAGAAGCAATTATTAGAATAAGTTATTTTGTTTTAAGTTTTTAAAATTTTATATCTGTTTTAATGGCAGTACTAAGTTGATCTGAATAAAGGCTATATTATATTAACGCGCGTGTAATTGCAGGCGTTCATAGGCCCCGGTAACTGCTTACCATCAGGTGGGCCGTATGCTTGTTTGCCATCTCGGTAGTATAAAAATATATAAAAATTAATACTTAGATAAAAAAATAGACATTTTACATAATGAAGTAGGTGCGTTTAGAGCCACATATATGTATACTTATTTACAGTATATTAGACTCAATAACAATAATCTGAAGAAGGGCAAAACAGTCCCTTCTGTCGCCATGAACTGGGGCGTCGGTGATAATAAAAAGAGATCTAAGCTATAAGGCCAAAATAATATGTTGATGTATTACGACAAAAATAAATAACAACAGCGATATCAACCCGGACAAGTTACAAAAAACTAGATAAGTATATACGTAAATATTATCTTTTTTTTAATACCTATAATACCTACTAATTATATACATATATTGTATCTGTGAAATCGAATTGATTTGCATGAACTAAAATTTGATATGAAATACATTATATCTATCTAATTACTAGATACAGTTTACCTGTAGTAACTATTTATTATGTATATCTATAATAATAATACAAAGAGGAAAGAATTAATTTTCTGTATGTTTGTTTGTAATAAATAAACACAGAAACTACTCGTCTAATTTAAAAAAAAAAATACCTACAGAAAGCTATATCATCAAAGAGTAACTTAGGCTATATATTATTTTTAAATCATTACGAAAAATACAAAAATGTAACCCAAAATAACATAAATTTGCCTATAATGTGTAAACCCGGGGGGAAATACTAGTATGTAATATATATAGGTTTGTACATATTATGTATTCCTTTATTAATAAATACATGTAAATTTAAACATAGTTGTCATTTTTGTAATATTTCATTTGCTTTTAAGATATTTTGTTTTTTGTTTTATAACACAGGGGTCAAACAAGCCGAAGGCTCCCTTGACCGAAAACGACTACCACCGACTAAGTAGGAAGAATTGCTGGTGTTTTATCTTTAGGATGGAGTGTGCTCTTTTCTTGACAGTTTTACTATTATATATCTTTTTAGAAATACTTCTGCTGAGAGTTGGTTCCACAGTGCGGTCATAGACATAGAAGGAAGTGACTGAAAAACCGCAATATGGAGGGCCGCCACTCATTTGAAACATTTTGTCTCTGTCATTTCACAGAATGATAAAGTTAATTATACATTTATACTTACACCAAGATATGATTTTTTGGAGTATTCTGAATTATATCATCATACCAATCGGTAACTGTCCACTGCTGAACATAGGCCTCCTCTGTAAGGAGGGTTTTGCCAGTAGTTGACATGGTTGGCAGACGAGTTGGCAACTGCATTTTTTTTAATGGGTGAAAATGGATTGGTAACCCCGTCCGCGCTAT